CACACACACACACACACACATCAGACCGGATCCCACTCCACGCTTCATTTTCCCCTTAATGTGCCCTACACGCAGGGTAGACAGTGTGTGTATATGGTGGTAGGTGGGGGTGGAGTGGGATGCGTGTCTGAGGTGGGTGGGTGCGTGAATGCACTCTCTCTCTCTTTCTCGCTCTCACTCACTTAAACGCGACGTTTATTGATACGAGAGCGGGTGTCGCTGTGCCGCGAATTGGCGGAGCACCCCGCCACCCGCAGCGCGAGGGTGAGAGACAGGGTGAGAGAGAAAGAGAGGGAGAGAGAGGGGGAGAGACAGAGAGAGGGGAAAGAGAGACACAGACAGAGTGAGTGAGTGAGTGAGTGAGAGAGAGAGGGAGATGGCCGCCGGCTTACACGCGCGTCCGCGCCGCCCAAACAACGGACCATCCCACTTGATTCCGTCCTCTACAAAGTAGGAGAGGACACTCTAAAGACACTCAGCAAGAATTCCGTCGCCTCCCTACGCGCAGACGGGGGCGTGTTCACCGAAGTTAGACTGCCCCCCACGTCCCCGATAGCATCATCTAGTTGTATAATAAGATTTTCGCTTCGCAGACTCATAATAACGGGCGCGTGAAAGATCACTCTTGTTATCACCGAGGTCGGAATAATTATCCGTGTATAATTGCATCAAGAGCATATAAAGAAGGCTATATAAAGATAGGATAAGGAACGTATAAAGAAGCCTTCTTTATATGCTCTTGATTGCATTGGTCAAACGCTGTAGTTACTTGTAAACAGGCAGCTATATTAAACAAAGGCCATGAAGAGGGACCGCCTTGGAAGACATTGTGAGCCCATGAGATAAAAACAACTTATCCCCCGTGCGCCGTATGTAAATGTGGGGAAGAAAAACAAACCGATGAGAATAACGATAATCAATAAGCGATATCGAAGATATCAACGACGTCGGGGGGATATCGAACAAGACAATGGGAACTTGCGGTTGTTTTTCGTGTGGAAAGTGATTTCTACAACACGCACGCGCACGCATGCACGCACGCACACACGCGCACGCACACGCACACGCACGCACGCACGAACACACACACACACATACACACACACACACACACACAC